AGATCCTTATTAAAAATAAAGATTCTCCATACTTACTGAGGAGTCCTTGTGTGGCACTGTAGGATAAGTACTGGAATGCTAACCCCAAGGTTAGAAGTTTAAACCCACGAGCCGTTCCTCGGAAATCCTTTACAGAATCAACTCATTAGCACTTAACAACACCACCAGACATACTGATTGATTCATAGTGTCTAGGGAACGTGTCCTGGTGTGGCGCTGTAGGATAAGCACTGAACTGCTAACCATAAGATCGGTGGTTCAACCTCACCAGTCACTCCTTATAAACCCTGTACAAGGTCACTATGTGTCAGAACTGACTCAATGGCAGTTAACAATAGCAATAACAAGGAAGAAGGGTCCTAAAAATCCTTATTTTTCATAAGTATCCCAAGTGAGTTTTACAATCAGAGAAACTTGGGCAATGCTAATACATGATGAGTAACAATCAGCTGAAGAGATCACAGCTTTGTGATTATGTAGGTAGTGTGGAAAGTGTTATACTTTGATTATTTCACTTATATGGCTTTCTTGAAAGGCCACATTGAAATCTTGGAAGCAAGGTTGAAAACTGATTTATGTATAAAGTCATAGTATATATTACATGTTAATTGTATATGTAAAATCATATGACTTTTTCTTATTACCAAATTAATAAATGTTACTGCAAAACAAAAAAGCAGGTAAGCCAAAATAAGTCACTAAAAATTTCCTATAGTTCCACGGCCTACAGGTAACTATATCTACCTGGTACTCTTGACTTTGCTGCTTGCTAGTCAATGTCTAATGATCTTTTCTTCAGCCTCAGACACTACAGCTGGATTTCCTGATGAAAATCTTGCCAAACTATCACCACTTAAAGAAGACTACAAAAGGAAGCTCAACTCCAGTGAAGAGCTAAAAGCAGTATACGACACCAAGAAAATAATCCATCTGTAACCACTGTCTTGTGAAGGACCATAGTGTTTGTGTGGTCTTAGCAGCTCACAAAACAGTGCATGTTGACTCTTTTCTAAATTGAGTTAGAGAGGAAAGTAATGTATTTTTATTCTGTCCTCTATAATTTTATTTAATACATTTGCATGAAATGTATTATTTCCCCATATTGTTGCTCCTTTTCTGATAATTTACATACTTAGTTTATTTTTCTTTTGTTCTATAAAATATTGTCTACAAATTTTCATTATGTAAGACTACGCATTATAAGAAAGGGCATATTGTTATGTATTTATATCCTAACATAAACTAAATAAAAGTGCTGATGGCAAGACTTTAGTGAGTATTCTTTAATGTTTTTCTGCTTGCATTATTTATTTTTCCCAAAATAGCTACCTTAAATTTTTATTATATACTAGCTATAAGGAGCT